GATGGTAACTTTAAATCAATTGTCCTGTTGCCATTAATCATCCGTAAATCGAAACAATAATCCTTCCTGTCTAGCCTAGAAAAACACTAATTCATGCTTAAGCCCCTGGCGGAACGAAATATGAGATTAGCACCGTCTAAAAGCGTTTCGTACCCTTGCTAGATGACAAGATTACTCAATAATCGTTCTGGTAATGTCTGGTGCGATTAATCATCGGTAGTCAAACAAAACCGGTTCTGTTTATCGAAATATTTTCATTTGAGTATTCTAGAGTTTACTTTACGACTTTTTATTTTCCAGCTGCAGGTGACAGCATTGCCAGGAGACATCACACAGGTCATTTCAGGCATTCCTCAGCTGAGATTTGGGATCCTCATCCCCAGTATGAGTTCACTGCTTTTGGAAGGCTCTTTCGATTACGTCTGACACACGATAACAGCTTCATCTCTCAAGCGATCAAGGTGAGGACTTTAAATTGAACATTTTGATATCTGAAATTGCATCTTCATCCTGGATTAAAATAAATTAACTCCAGAAATAAAGATAAATAAACAGACTCGATGCAAGAGTAGAAAAATGATATTCAGTCGATTGAACAAGTGACTTCCAGTTCTTCTGCACTCGTCTCGACCTTGGCACTCCGGTCGAAGACACCTTCAATGATTTTTCATCAATTCTCTGTTAAGGTGACACACATGACTCAAAATAAAACAAAGTGGGAGCCACCGGGTCACCAAGTTAGCTGTTTCTACACTGGAGTTGTCGACGGTGATCCAAAATCCGTCGTCTCTGTCAGTCTCTGTCACGGAATGGTGAGTTAAGATAATAATCTTTTATTTAATGCTCCCGTTCATCACAGTGAGAGATAAAATTACTTCTGACATTGAAGATTTACTCAGTACAGCATTATATTCTCTCATTTATCCTCAACACCCTGAAATGTACTATTTTGATAATTAATTTTTTATTAAAATCAGTCAGATTTATTTCATTCATTAAAAAATCCACTTCAGATTAATATTTTTCTGCAGGCAACACTTTAAACTAAAAAAT